ACCAGAGAAGAGACCATCACCACCGTGGTGAAGAGTCCCCGTGGCCGACGCCAGTCCCCCAGCAAGTCTCCCTCCCGTTCTCCCTCCCGCCGCTCTGCCAGTCCACTGAGGCCAGGGCTGTTGGCCCCCGAGATGCTGTACCCACCAGGGACCAGCCCGTCCCGGAGGCTCGAGGTAGAAGCAAGCAGGAAGGCCCCGGTGCCTGCACTGTATGTGACAGAGGCTGAAGCCCTCGCTCCAGCCTCGCAGCCCAAGTGGTTAGAGGTTGAGGAAACCATTGAAGTCCGCGTGAAGAAGACCGGGTCACGGGGTGCATCTCCTGTCCGAGAGATGCCCAGCAGTGGAGAGGGCATCGTCTTCACACTGCCTAGTGGGGTCGCTGGCAGGGACCCAAATGCCAACAACTCCAACAACAAGAGTGTGTCACGGGAAGCCCGGACCCGCAGCCCCGCTGTAGTCCATGTTGGTGAACCCCTTGTCTTCCGTGTGGACTCAATGGGCAATGTGGACTGGGCAACTGCTAGCCCTGAGCCAAAGGAGGTTGGAGCCTCCCAGGAGGAAGAGAACTTTGCAAGGGAGGAAGGAGGCAGCGACAGAGAAGAGAATATCTCCCTAATAGAAGAACCCCAAGACATGGGCAGCCTTCAGGGCCGTGACCCTAAAATCCTTACGCACAATGGCAGAGTGCTAACATTGGCTGACCTGGAAGACTACGTACCCCAGGAAGGAGAGACCTTTGGCTGCAGGGACCCCACCCCCAGCACCCCTGATGAACCTCCCTGTGAAGTCTCTGTGCTCCAGAGAGAGATCAGAGAGCCCACTGTGGGGCAACCTGTCCTGCTCAACGTGGGGCGTCCTCCAGTCCCCGGTGCCATACCCAGCTTCTTCGGGTCAGGGCCCCAAGTCCACAGCCCCGAGGGTGTCTCCTTCCTCTTGCGTGAGGACTGGACAGGGCCAGTAAGTGCCACCCCTTGGACAAGCTCCTTCCGTGCCCACGTCCAGAGTTCTGTAGATGGCGGCCAGAATAGCTTCAAGACAGAGGTTTCTACCCAGACGGTCAGCTTTGGGACCGTAGGAGAGACAGTCACTTTGCATATTAACCCTGAAGGGGGAGAGGCCCCAGGCCCCTCCCAGAGTTGATGCCACACCCTGGGGACACAACCTGGGGACAACCAGGTAAGGTGAGTGGCCCAGAGCCTTGGGCCCTGCTAGGTACCAGCACCTACCCTGGAACCCACAGCTTACCTCGGGGACCTCTTACCCTCTGCTCTTCTCCAGTCTGGGATGGAGTCCTCCTTGCTTTCCTGCCCGGTCCTTCCTACCTCACTGGACGTGTGCTTTGCCAGGAAGATGAAGAAGTTCCTGTAGTGTTGGAATATGCCGATGTCACTTCAGAAGAGCTCTGGCCAGGAGCAGTTCAGAGACTCCAACTTTGGACTCCATCCCTCAGGCCTTCTGTGGGGCTCTGAAAACAAGATGTGGACTTGGGCATTTGCCCTGAGACACATCCCATTGAGGGTCTTCCCTAGGGTTGCATCCAAGGCCTGTGTTGACCTGCTACCAGCTCTGCAGATCGTCAGGGCCACTTCTGTGGTGGACACGGGCTGTGGGGTGAGGGAAAATCCCAGGCCATGGCCCTGATGAGAACAATAAAGCAAATCCCAGACCCTCCTCTCTGCTTCTTCTTGCTTGTTCTGCTGGAAGTTTAGGGTCCCTCCTCTTGTAAACACCTGCTAGACCTACTCTCATTTTTTCCAAGGTCACATCTCAGGTCATATAGGACTCCTAGGGTGGTTGGCTACCTGTGTCCATGCCTGCCTTGAGGTCCATGGGTAGAGTAGGATCGAGAATGAATCTTTCCTTGACAGTGTCTATGGGGCTGGTCTTTGAGACTCACACTGTGACCAGGGCAGGCATCATGGTCACTTTTGGCCTGTGGGAATCTGAGTAGGCCTTCCTAAGCCATGGATAGTTGAGGCCATTGTAGGTCAAATGGGGGGTCATGAGTGAGATTGGGTGACCCATGTGTCCTAAAGTTCTCAACATATAGGAGTCGATTCCATCGTCTTCAGAGGAGACGACCTACGATCCTAGCACTTGTCTGTGAGGGCCAGGAGACCTCTAGCCCTGAGGCCCATTCTAAGGATGCTGCCTGCCTCTTGGAGTTGGGAAGAGGGTCTGGGTGCCTGTCCAGCCTGGGTCTGGGGTATCAGAGATGCCTCATCCGCAAGCACTGAGGAGGATCTGGGTGAGGAGAAGGCTATGGGCAGGGGCTTGCTGGCAAAGGAGTGGTCAGCAGTCCTGGGGCATGCGTGTGGAACCCTCACGTGGGTAAGCAGGTCTGAAAGGTACAGGGGAGAGAACATGAGCCACACCCAGGAGAGGGTTAGAGGAGTACTGGGGTTGCTCACTAGGAACTGGTAAGGACACAGGCTTGGGCTGGGCTCAGACCACTTAGGTGGGGGAGGCAGAAAGCCGTCAGCCACATGGGGTGAGGCCTGAGCGCCCTGGGAGGTGAAATACTGCACGGCTTCCTGAACGCTCAATCCTATGGTTCCCCTGACCCTTAATATGTGCCGATCTGTCTAAGGTTTAGAGTCTAGAGCCAGCCTTGAGGGGAGCCAGGCTGAGATGGAAGGTGTGTGGGGCTGGAGGCACACTGAAGATGGAGGCTTTCTGAGGGAGATGTACATTCCCTTTAGCTTCGAGGAGGGTGGCCCTGGGTGTACATGGCTCTGGTGGAAGAAACGGTGGCCCTGTCCCTGGGCTCAGAGTTTCTCACCGTGCCGTGCCGTATCCTCCTGGGCCTTGCAAAGCCAGGAACAGCAGGCTGCAGGATAGGTGTGAGAAGGCAGTCTCTGAGAACGGGGTGGGGTGGGGGGGTGGGGGGTGGGGGTGGGGGGGTGGGCACTCAGAGCCCATGCCTGGGATTTCAGTCCCCAGGCCAGACTTACCTTGTGTTCCCATTCTCCTGTCCACAGACACCTCTGTGGAGGACTCAGTCCACCCTACCCAGGACGGAGCTGACCAAGATGCCACTTCTGTCCTTTGGAGACTGCTGAGCTCAGAAGCCCTGAGCCCCTCCCCGGGGGATTTCCCCCACACCAGACAAAGTGAGCCACCTGCATTTGAAGAGGCTACTCCCCAGATCCCACGCATGCCAGCCTCAGGTATACCTGGTGAGGCCCAGCAGGGAGCTGACTCCAAAGACTTCTCCTCTCCCCAACCCTGCCTTTGCTAACCCCACCCCATCCTTGGCCATGTGATCCAAGGGATCACCCCGATTGCCCACTTTATGGATAAAAACTTGCAGAGCCCTGGGGCACCTTGGGATCTTTATGACCTCATGTGCCATCATGTACTTTGCCTGGTCAAGGCCCAACCTTAACTTGACTTCAGTTTTCCTGTCAACTGGGTCCACCCAGTTCACCTATGCATGTACCGGGACCTGGAGGTGCCCACTCCTATACCTAGAGACTCAGTTTCCCCAAATGTGCCATCTGTCCACTTAGTTTGTCCCAAGTTCCTCTTTTCTAACATAGTGTGGTGTGTCTTATCTCGTCAAGGAGTGAAATATCCTCTGCAGGGCCCCACACTGCCACCTGTGTCCTGTTCTCATGGAATGCCAGCCTGGCTGGATGCACAGGTCCGGGTGGGCAGAGCTGCTGCCTCCCCATGGCAGCCTGGCTGGTGGGCTAGGACCTTGTCACCTTGGTAGGGAACCGGGGGACCCTGATGTCTGGCTTCACTGGGACAGCCAGTGTACGTCACTAGGTTGTGGGGGCCGGGACTCACTGTGGGGGCCTGGTTCCTACTCAGGGCTCTAGCCTTGGAGCTGCTTTTGACTTTGCAATCCACCCCACACTGGCCACACGGGGGACTCATGCTTGTTAAAGAATGTCCTTCCGGCCCCAGCCTAGATTCAACTCACTAGGCTCCCTGTCTTCTTCCAGCTGACCCACCAGAGGTCTCACAGCCTGGCATGCACAAAGGCGTGGAGCAGGAGACGACAACAACTTCTGGGGCCCAGGGACGGACTGTACCTATTCGGTAACTTCTTGAGCCAGATAGGTCATGTGTGGAACTGCCCCCCAAAGGGACATCCTGGGTTGGCAGTGTAGGGCCCACCTCCTCTGGCTTCATGGTCTTGAAGAGTTAGCAGGGTAGACTTGGAGCTCTCCAGCACACTTCTTACAGACTCCAGCCCAAGCTGGTGGGCAGGGGAGGGAAGAGGGACCCACTCTAGAGCCTTAGGTCTTGGGAAGAAGCCTGGGGCCTCTGTCCATACATCTAACCCCACAAAGAGGGACATTAGGGTCACCCTCCCACCCTGAGGCACAGCTACCCGGGAGGTACAGAGTCAGGGTGCTTCACTGAGTGGAGACCACACCCTGTCTTGACTCCAGGGTGGAGGGAACAGCCTGGCCAGGTGCAGGCGCTGGACCGCTGCTCTTGGATGTGCACAGCCAAGTCATCATGGAGACCACACAGAGGACCTATGTGTACCAAGCTCCTGACACAAGTTCCGCAAGTATGGAAGTGGGCCAGCCGGATGGGGGTGCGCCCATGCCAGGTGCCAGGGGCATTTCTCCGAGGGCCTGGTTAAGTCACATGGCATGCCTCAGCCCGCGTTCCCCCACCCCTTCTTTCTGGGGCGCCCCCTTTGAGGCCGGCAGCAGCAGATGTGGCGCCTCCAGGTTGGATACGTGAGAGAGCCTTTCTGCATTCTGCCTGCTTGGGCTTGACTGTCCATGTGATTGCTTGGGCAGCTGAAATTAAAGCAGGCAAAACAGCGGCTGGAATGAAGGAAGCTCTTTGCAGCCACCAGATGCCTAGGCCGTGAGGGTGGGGTCACTGTCAGCAGGGAAAGGAGGTGGGCTTCTGGTCCAAGGGACATAGACCAAGGTTTTACCGAGCACAGATGTACATGGTGGACTGTGCACCCAGGGCTCTACAGCCTGAGGGTCCCCACACACGGCTTCTCTTCCCACTTCTCCCAGGGGCCCCATCCATGCAGGTCACGATTGAGGATGTCCAAGTCCAAGCAGGTGACACGGCACAGTTCGACGCTGTCATCGAAGGCAGCCCACCACCCACAGTGACCTGGTACAAGGTAGGAGCAGGTCCAGGCAGCAGGGGGAGGAGACAGGCTTCAGGAGCTGGAGGGCATGGGTGCATGTGTACATGGGACCATGTGGGAGTATGAGGCTCATGCACCCCACCATCCAATCTGCAACCCCCACTCCATGGCCCCACCCTGCAGTCCTATCCTGTACCTTCCCATCCCACTTCTGGCCTGCACCTGGGGCTGGGCATACAGCAGGTGTTGGAAGCACTGCTCCAGGAAGGGCGTGTGGGTCCAGGTGCAAGTATTTCCCAGGATAGGCTGATGGTAGCCCAGGCTGCCTCCTGTGTGTCCAGGACAGCAACCAGCTGATGAGCAGCGACAGGCTGAGCCAGCGGCAGGATGGGACTACATATTCCTTGGTGCTGACTGATGTGGCTCCACATGATGCTGGCGTCTACACATGCCTTGCCCATAATGCAGGTGGACAGGTGCTCTGCAAGGCGGAACTGCTGGTCCATGGGGGTGAGTTGGCTGGCTCCTCCCAGGTCCTGGGCAGGGTATGGGGACCAGGGAGCAGTCCCTGTCGTTGCATGGGAGAACAGTGGAGCCAGGGCTGTCGTAGCTGCCTATACTGTACATATCCTGTGACTGTAGGGGACAAGCTAGACTCAGAAAAGCCAGTATATCGGAGAAAACTGCATTCCTTCTATGAAGTTCAAGAAGAGATTGGGAGGTATGGCTTCCTCACCTTCCCCACAACTCCAGTCCTCCCCAGGGACTCCTCCTCCCCCTTCAGCATGCCGCCTCACCATGGTTCCCTCTCTCCCTCTTCACCCCCAGGGGTGTGTTTGGTTTTGTGAAAAGAGTTCAGCACAAAGGAAACAAGATGTCCTGTGCTGCCAAGTTCATCCCCCTGCGGAGCAAAACTCGGGCCCAGGCGTACCAGGAACGAGACATCTTGGCTACACTCAGCCACCCGCTGGTCACTGGGCTCCTGGACCAATTTGAGACACGGAAGACTCTCATCCTTATCTTGGAGCTGTATCCTGCACCTGGACTCCAGGGGAGAATTCAAGAGACATTGGGTCCCAGGCTAGGGTTGGAGTTACCGAGTGTGGGGTGCCTAGACTTGGGTGTTACAGTGACAACCACTAGCCCCACATCTGAGCATTTCTGTTCCTGATGCTGTGTGTGACAACAGCTCCTGATCCTACAGTTCACAGTGGCATGATTTGGGGAGGGGGGAACACCATAGTTGTGGGCGGGGTCCCTCTCACAGGTGTCCTCTTGGATACTGGAGAAGATTTTCCCATCCCAGCTCCTCCAGGTCTCTGTCACGCTCATGGAGCCTTGTTTGAGGGTCTTTGTACTGCACGGTCTGGCTGCCCTGTCACTCCTGAAGCTGTGTCTTAGGATCCTGGGGAAGGGGTGCTTGGTGTGGGCTCTGTGCAGAGATGAAAGGACGCCACAGTTCTAATATGCTATTGACCAACAGCCTGTCACCAGGTCTTTCTGAAGACTCCTTCTCAGGGATGGTAACCATCTGGGATGGGAGTGTGTATGTGTGTGTGTGGGGGGGGTGACTCCATTCCACCCTCCTTCATCTGAGTACCAGCACCCCTAGATCTGGGTTACAGGAGCCTCAGGTCCTGGACACCTCTCTGTGAGCATAGGTGCCCAGGAGTCAGGTGGATTTCAACCAGGTACAGCTTTTCCTTGACCAAGCCCAGGTGCTCATCTGAGGAGCTGCTGGATCGCCTCTTCAAGAAGGGTGTTGTGACTGAGGCTGAGGTGATCTTTATCCTCTCCTTGTCCGACTGGGGCCCTAGGGTCAGGGCCTACACCCCTGGTCCCCAGACACAGTCTCTCTTGACCTAAGCCCCTTATAGTTTCCAGAGTACCCAGGCATGTCCAGTCCTCTCCTACCCCTCCTGACCATATCTCTCCAGCTGTGGTAGTGATACCTGCTCCTCCCTGATTTGAACAGGCTGCTGCTTCCTGCCTGCTCAGGCTCAGCCTATCTTTGGGACCCCGCCCCGCCCCAGACCTGGGGCTCACAGATTCTTGAAAGACTTTGCCAGTCATCCATCCCGTGGGGCCCGAATTGAGGGGGGGAAGGCTTGACTATGGGAGTAAGCTGGAACGGAACAGAGGAGGAGGCTGGGGCTGGCCCCTCACCCGAGCCAGGCCTCCAGGAGGTACCTGAGCCAGCCAGCCTCTTGGGGGCTGGTCCCCGGCTGAACTAGGCTTTTTTTTTAACCACAGGTCAAGGTCTACATCCAGCAGCTGGTGGAAGGACTGCACTATTTGCACAGCCATGGCGTCCTCCACCTGGACATAAAGGTACTGACCCCACGGTACCTCCAGCACTCAGGGTGGGGACAGGTGGGAGCCTGCCTGTGCTTGGGTTCCACTGAGCGTGGAGAACTCGCTGCATCCTAGCCCTCAGGTAGGGTTTGGATCTGATGGAGTAGAAGATGTGACGCCCAGTCTGACTCCCCACTGCCCTTTACTAGCTCCAAGGACTCTTCAGTGCCTCCCCCCCACACATAGGCCCAGAGAGATAGGAGTCACCTCTCTCATGACACGTAGCCCTCAACAACCTCCCAACTCTGCCTGACAGCCCCCCAACATCCTGATGGTGCACCCAGCTCGGGAAGACATTAAGATCTGTGACTTTGGCTTTGCCCAAAAAATCACCCCCTCAGAGCCACAGTACAGCAAGTTCGGCGCGCCCGAGTTCGTGTCTCCAGAGATCATTGAGCAGAGTCCTGTGAGCGAGGGCTCGGACATCTGGTGAGTGGACGGACCACCAGGAGGGCTGTGGTTCCGGAACCTCCTGTCCTCTGTCTGTCTGGCCGCTGAGGCTCCTCTGAGGCTCTGCCACCTCCTCCAGCCCCAGGCTTCTCTAACCCCCACACGCACACCCCTTGCCTGAGGGCCAGGCCTGGTTTGACTCACAGTGTGTGGTGCTTTCTTTCATTCTTGCAGGGCCGTGGGTGTCATCTCCTACCTCAGGTAAGCAGACCCTGCCCTGTCACCTCTTCCAAGCTGATCACTCCATGTAGGCCACACACACTGCTGGCCACCCCCTAGATCAGCCCCGAGATGCAGCAGGCAGCTATTTTGAGACCAGGCAGTAGGCCGGCCCTGATAAAACGTTTTAACACTTCTCACTAACACCCAGTTGTCACGTGACAGAGCTTGGCCACTTCCCTGCAGGTCTGGGGGCTTGTCCATGGGACACTCATAGTGGCCATTGCTGCCCTGAAGGTGATAGTGGTATGGCCTGAGCTTGGATCTCCTCTGCAGGCTGAACCTTGATTTCTACCTTGGTAAATGCTGGTTCCTACTCTAAAACAACCTTGAATCCCATTCCATTCTGAACCTGAAGTTCTGCCTCAGATCAAGGCTGGTGCCACCTCAAACTGACCTTGGATACCTGTATCAGCTTGAACCCAAATCCCTCCCTCACATTACGGCTCTCTCCATATCCCAAGCTGAACCTCTCCCTCTGTCCTGTTTCGGACACGAGTCCCCATGTCAGGATAAGGGCAAGTGACCACCCCAGGATGAGCCTTTATCTCTACCTAGGTTAGAGCCAAGATATCACCTTAGGCTTATCTCATATCCCCGCTTCCAGCCGAGTCTCTATTTCTTCTATAGGACAAGTCCTAACCCCCACCTCAGGCTTAGGTACTCCTGTGGGCTGATTCTTCCTTGATCTCTAGCTCAGCCGGAGCCTGGATGCACATCCTAGTCTGAGCTCTGATAACCACTCCAGGCTTTGCCGGGATCCCTGCTCCAGGCTAATCCTGGATAGCTCTGGTCCAGCCTGAGACATCGGCTGGACTCCTCAGGTCTAGATGAGTGTAGCGCACATCCCGTCAGGGAACTGTCTCTGAGAGTCAGCCTCAGCACATCCCTGCTTTCAGCCTGACCTGCTCATCCCCATTTGCTGGAGAGAGTGACCGTGCCACCCTGCTGAATGTTCTGGAGGGCCGGGTATCTTGGAGTAGTCCCATGGCTGCCCATCTGAGTGAGGATGCCAAGGACTTTATCAAGGCCACACTGCAGAAGACCCCCAGGTGCGTGCACACCTGTCCCTCCCCTGCCCAAGCTCCAGTCACCCTGTGGTAGGGCCACCTGACTGACTAACCCACCTGCTTTCCTTCTTCCTCCAGGGCCCGGCCTAGTACTTCCCAGTGCCTTGCCCACCCCTGGTTCCTGGTAAGTCGGCCCAGCTTGGGCTCAACTCACTGCTCTGCAGAAAGGGAAACAAAGGCCAAGACGTCTCATCAGCATGGACTGCTCTGGCCTGTTGTCCCTAGTTCAGAGGACATCAGTCCCTTCATATTGGTCAGGGGGTCCTGGAGCCCCCGACAAGAATTGCTAGGTAGTCAGCAACAAAGGGTTCCTCCTGCCTCCACGGGCTTCTGGGTAAGGGATTTGCCCTCAGCCTGCCTGAGAGGAGGAGACTGAAGCCTTCCGTGGAGGCCAGTCTGCCGCCTCTGCCCTTCTGGGCCTGCATCCCCGGAGGGCCCCCGCCGTGGCACCAGGGTCTCTTGTCACCACAGCCCCTCCCTTTGCAGAAATCCATGCCTGCTGAGGAGGCCCACTTCATCAACACCAAGCAGCTCAAGTTCCTTCTTGCTCGAAGCCGCTGGCAGGTGGGTCCCCCTTTCCCAGGAGAGAGGTGCTGAGGCCAGGGAAGGGAACCCGACTCTAGCTGTGTGCCCAACTTGGGCCAGGAGCACAGGGGCCAGGCTGGCCTGTTCCGTGCTTCTGGGTCCCCAGGAGTGCACCCGGTGGTGGGGCGGAACAACAGAGCACCAGGTGCAGAAGACTCAGATGTCCTGGGTAATCCCTCTGGGCCCCCAGGGAGAATAGAGGCAGTGGGCACCCCACCCTCTGCCATGACTAGCCATGTCCAATGGGTGCCCCCCTCTGTCCTCATTTCCAGCGCTCCCTGATGAGCTACAAGTCTATCCTGGTGATGCGCTCCATCCCTGAGCTGCTCCAGGGTCCTCCAGACAGTCCGTCCCTAGGCGTGGCCCGGCACCTCCGAGGGGAAGCCAGTGGCTCCTCTAGCTCTTCGTCTTCCTCAGACAACGAGCTTGCCCCGTTCGCCAGGGCTAAGTCGCTGCCGCCTTCCCCTGTGACTCACTCTCCGCTGCTGCATCCTCGGGGCTTCCTGCGGCCCTCAGCCAGCCTCCCAGAGGAGACAGAAGCCAGCATGCCCACCGCTGATGCAGCCCCGCCAGCATCCCCCCAGGGGGCTGGGCCTCCGGCAAGCCCGGGTTGTGTGCCCCGGCACAGCGTTATCAGCAGCTTGTTCTACCAGCAAGCTGGTGAGGGGTCAGAGCGCGGGAGCAAAACCTCCGGGGCCAAGCGGCACCCCGCTCGGAGGCGGCACCTGCTGAAGGGCGGGTACATCGCAAGGGCCCTACCGGGACTTCGAGAACCACTGATGGAGCACAGTGTGTTGGAGGAGGAGGAGGCCGCCAGGGAGGAGCAGGCCGCTCTCATGACCAAGACACCCTCCTTTGAGACTGCCCTGAGACTACCTGGTTCCAGTGCCCGAGAGGTCCCAGGCCGAAGCCGCTCCCTGGACCACAACCCACCAGACACCGCCAGCCGCTCTCCTGAGGAATGCGAGGGGCAAGACCTATTCCCACCCTCCTCTGGGGTGACTCGTGAAGCCACTGCCAAAGACATGGGGCACTCAAAGGGGTCCTTGCAGGAGTCTGTCCCCTGTTCACCTGCTAGTGGTGACTCGGGGCCTGCTAAGCAAGAGGGATCGTCCCAGGACAGCTGTCGAGGGAAACCTGCCCCTTCCTGCCACTCTGGTTCTGGCTCCCAGGAGGGCTGCGGCTCTCCATCATCACAGTCGCTTGGCTCTTTACCTCCACAGTCATCCAAGAAGGACCTCTTGACGCCCTGTAGCCCCTTCCTCACAGGACAGCCTCAGGCAGCCCCATTCCCAACCCAAGCAAGCCCCCTTCCCGGTTCTAAGAAGGAGCCTGGGGATAGCTCTCTATGCGGCAGGCCCTGTCCCAGTCCCTCTAATTCCTCAGGGCCAGCCTCCCAAGTAGGTGCCTCCCTGGATACTGAAGACTTGTCTGAAGCTAGAGACACATGTGACTTCACACCCCCGCTGCAGCGGCCTCAGGAGCAGGCCACCACCCGGAAGTTCTCCCTGGAATCCCGTGGCGGCTATGCAGGGGTGTCAGGCTACGGCACCTTTGCCTTTGGTGGGGACGCAGGGGGCATGCTAGGGCAGGGTCCTCTTTGGGCCAGGATGGCCTGGGCTGTGTCCCAGTCCTCAGAAGAGCAGGATGAAGCTGTGACTGAGAGCCCTCAACCTCTAGACAGCTCAGGGCCCATGGCTAAGGCCGGCGGGGTTTCCCTAAGGACCTCTCCGAGCTTCCCCCCATGGGAGGAAGTCGAGCAGGTTTCCCTGGTACAGATCCGGGATCTGTCCGGTGATGCAGAAGCAGCTGACACTATCTCCTTGGACATTTCTGAGGTAGATCCGGCCTACCTCAACCTCTCTGATCTATATGACATCAAGTATCTCCCCTTTGAGTTCATGATCTTCAGGAGGGTCCCCAAACCTGTAGAACCTCCAGAGTCACCCGGCTCTGAAACCGAGGCCGGGCAAGGGCTGGCAGAGTTCCTAGAGGAGGCTGCGTGGCCCTGGCCAGGAGAGCTGGGCCTGGGTGCTGGCTTGGAAATTACAGAGGAGTCAGAGGAGCCAGGGGACCTGGAAGCACTTCTGGGAGAGGCTGCCATGGGCAGGAAGCGCAAGTGGTCCCCCTCCCATGGCCTCTTCCCATTCCCCAGGAGGTGCCTGACAGGGGAGGAGCCCGTGGAGCTGGGGCTGCGCCAGAGGGTGAAGGCTTCCATGGCTCACATCTCCAGGATCCTGAAGGGCAAGCCGGAAGGTGACCTCCCCCAACATCTGGCATGTCCACATGTCCCTTGTTCTGCACCCGGGGGGCTACCTCGTCCTCTTGTGCCCTCTCAAGTCCAGCTGGCCTCCTCTCCCTGTTCTATGCTATCCACACCATCTGGCCTGACCCCACAGGTCTTGGCTCAAATCCTAGGGTCCCCTCTGCAGCCCTGACACCCCTCCTTACTGGGTATCTGAGACCATCCCTGACACATAACAGCTGCAGGGACTTGGAGCCAGCAGCAGGGTCAGACCTTTGGGGAGAGAGAGGGCCCATGGGTCAGTTCACCAGACCCCAGATCTCGGGCCCAGGAATCCCTCCAAACTCGGACCCTCTGACATGGCCCTCAGTGACCACAGGTCCCCTTCATCTTCAGAGCCTCCATGGCGTCTGATTTTCCTAACCCCAGGCCCAGCACCCACCCACCCACCCCTCAGGCATCTATCTATGTCCTGTGCTCAGGCCTGTGTCCTGACAGCCTGTTGCTGAGGGTATTACCAAGCTTTGTTCTGGTTTCCTGCATTCTCCCTAAGGCCCTGTCCTTTCCCCTGGCAGATTTCCTAGGGTGAAGAAGCTGGTGCTGTCCTGCTTCACCCCCTGAGCTCCTGGCCCTCTTTCTTCCGTAGGTCCTGAGAAGGAGGAGCCCCCCAGGAAGAAGGCAGGCTTAGCTTCTTTCCGGCTGTCAGGCCTGAAGGGCAGGGACCAAGGTAAGCAGGGATCACAACAGTGAGAGTCCAGTGCGGAGTTCTGGTGTAGAGGTCTAAGCAGTTTTGGAAGGCTTCCGTCGAAGCTGAGGGCAGGGTCCGGCCTGGGCTCTCTGGTCAGGAAGTCTCCTCTCAAGGCTCATCTTATTCCCCCCCCCCCCCCCCAGCGCCATCCTTCCTAAGAGAGCTCTCGGATGAGACTGTGGTCCTGGGCCAGTCAGTGACACTGGCCTGCCAGGTGTTGGCCCAACCCACTGCCCAGGCCACCTGGAGCAAAGGTAAGGAGCTGTCCCAGAGTCTGGATGCTGGATTGGCGTGGACAAGCAGCAGCCGCGGTCCCAGCAGGATGCTGTGGCTGTCCTGGGGGAAACCAAGGCCGGCTTTGTCTTGTCACAGATGGGGCCCTCCTGGGGAGCAGCGGCCACCTCCTCATCTCTTCCACCCTGAAGAACTTCCAGCTGCTGACCATCCTGGTGGTGACAGAGGAGGATCTGGGCACATACACCTGCCGTGTGAGCAATCCGCTGGGGACGGCAGTCACGACAGGCGTCCTCCGGAAAGCAGGTGTGTGGGCCACACCCCAAGTCTCTGCCAGGCCACAGAGGCCGGGCTGGGAGCTCCAGGAGACCTTATCTTGGTTAGTGAGCAGGACGACGCTGGCTTCTTATGTGAGGGTCCATGGAACTAGGACTTGTAGGGAACTCAAGAAAAGTCGGGGGTAGCTAAAGCTGCTAATGTCACGTCCAGTGCCGATCAGAGCTTCCTCTCCGGGTTGCACCTCCTCCTCTGCCTGTACTGCCTTCTGTACTGGTTCATGCAGCGGCCAAGGGTGTTTCTGGGGCAGTGAAGAAAGGGACTGTTGGCCTACCTGTGGTACCAGTCCGTCACTGGCTGGCCTGTACACTTGTGCTAGAGCACTCAGCAGAGATGAGGAGGCACTAACCAGGACCACTCCATAGGGTCTTTTTTTTTTTTGTTTGTTTGTTTGTTTGTTTTTCGAGATAGGGTTTCTCTGTGTAGCTTTGCGCCTTTTCCTGGAACTCACTTGGTAGCCCAGGCTGGCCTCAAACTCACAGAGATCCGCCTGGCTCTGCCTCCCGAGTGCTGGGATTAAAGGCGTGCGCCACCACCGCCCGGCTTCCATAGGGTCTTGAGTAGGCCCCTGTGAGATGGTAGCTGAGAGATATCTTGACAGAGATAGCCAGGCAGATAATCCTGAATCCCTGCCAATCTCTTCTACACATCCTACCTTGAAACTCCTCTCCAGAACCAATAGGGAGTAGGCCTGGCAGCTGTTGAGAGGGAGATGGGTGTGGCCAGAGACTGCTCTTCGAGGGTCGAGTATCCATGCTGATCACAGGGTTGCCTTTGCAGAGCGCCCCTCATCCTCTCCACGCCCAGAGGTGGGGGAAGTGTACACAGATGCAGTGCTGCTGGTCTGGAAGCCCGTGGAATCCTGTGGCCCGGTGACCTACATTGTGCAGTGCTGTATAGAAGGTACAGGCTTCCTGAGGCTTAGGCCTCAATGCAGGGTTGACGTGGAGAGGCACTGTGGGTGCGTCTGCTCTTTGTCTGTGGGAAGCCTCAGAAAAGGGGTTCCCTTGATTCTCCACAACTGTTTCTCTCTCTCCTGCGTGGCCAGGAGGCAGCTGGATCACCCTGGCCTCTGACATCTCCGACTGCTGCTACCTCACCGGCAAGCTGTCCCGGGGTGGCATGTATACCTTCCGGACTGCATGTGTCAGCAAAGCAGGAATGGGCCCCTATAGCAGCCCTTCAGAACAAGTCCTCCTGGGAGGGCCCAACCACCTGGGTGAGCTTCGGGGTAGATGGGGCAGATAAGGGTGGCCATCCGATCAGGCATAGACACCCTCTTGCCCATGAATGATCTACTTGCCTGCATGCAGCATTCAGAGCCTGCACTCCCTGGGGACCCCAACATCTTCCTGTCCCCCTTCACTCACCGACACCCTCCTCATGTCACCAAGGGAGTTGGCGACGGTTGATTTTTACTTCACTGGGTGCTATGTTTGCTTCTGACGGAAGGGTGCTGTGGTTGATTAGAAATGGCTGGTGTAGACTCAAGAACGGCAGATGTCATTTGGCTGCTGTCTGGTTCCATCCTGGAATCATCAGGCATGCAAGTCCGTCAAGATGACAGATTCTGCCGTGATCCCCCCCCTTGTCCGGGTTTCTCCTCCAACACACACAAAATTGTTCAGGGAATGGGAGGTCCAAGTGCACGGGATCTTAGAGAAGGGCCACTTTCCTGGTGCTTGGGAAGGGATGATGAGAGATGACATCATGGCTGCCTGCATGTCCCTCCCTGACGAGGTCGCCTATCTCATGTCCCACAGCCTCTGAGGAGGAGAGCGGCCGAGGAAGGCCAGCCCAGCTTCTCCCCAGCACAAAGACCTTCGCCTTCCAGATGCAGATCCGGAGGTGCAGGGGTGTCTGCAGGGGGTGGGAGGGTGGGAACGGTCCCTCAGCTCCTCCTGCAGGCTTTTCATGTCCCACGCCCCAGGGCACCTGTCACTGGCCCCTTCCCTGCTCATTGAGCGTGGTCCCTGCTGCTCTGAGTGTGTGGAGACTACTCACAAGACCCCGCTCTGTTCCCTTTACGCAGGGGCCGCTTCAGTGTGGTAAGGCAGTGCAGGGAGAAGGCGAGTGGGCGGGCGCTGGCCGCTAAGATTGTTCCCTACCAGCCCGAGGACAAGGCGGCTGTGTTAAGAGAATACGAAGCCCTTAAGAGACTGCACCACCCACATCTGGCCCAACTCCACGCCGCCTACCTCAGTCCCCGGCACCTGGTGCTCATCCTGGAGCTGTGCTCTGGCCCTGAGCTGCTACCCTGTCTGGCAGAGAGGTGAGGGGTAGCATGGATTGTCTGGGAGACAGACAGACAGACAGGCAAGCAGCTGTCTCTGGGAGAGACCGTGAAAACTGTGACCACATCAAGCTGGTGCTCAGCAGAACCCAGGCTCCTTCTGGCTTGCAGGGACAGTGTTCTCAGCCTCCCCCATGTGTGCCTAGCCCTGGCAGGACACCCCCTCCTGCCTCGGGCCTGTCCTGAGCCATCTGTGTCCCCTAGGGACTCCTACTCAGAGTCTGATGTGAAGGACTACCTGTGGCAGATGCTGAGCGCCACCCAGTACCTGCATGCCCAGCACATCCTGCACCTGGACCTGAGGTCCGAGAACATGATGGTCACCGAGTACAACCTGCTTAAGGTTGTGGACCTGGGCAATGCTCAGAGCCTCAGCCAAGAGAAGGTCCCACCCCCTGAGAACTTCAAAGACTACCTGGAGACCATGGGTGCGTATGTGACTCCTGATCTGTGGGGGCAGGGGGAGAAGCTCTTCCCTATCTGTCCTCCCTCCCTCCGTCCCTCCCAGTCCCACTGACAATGCTCACCAGAGCCTCATACGTGTGCCCATTCACCTGGGCCCAGATGCCCAGCATGTCACCTGGCTCCTCCACTTACATCTACCACCTGACCTACCCAACTGTGCCCAACCACCTGTATCCACCCATGCTCCTCTGCAGCTCCAGAACTCCTGGAAGGCCAAGGGGCTGTTCCACAGACAGACATCTGGGCTATTGGTGTAACAGCCTTCATTATGTGAGTCCCTCAGGAGTTGTGCTACTTGGGTGGGACAAGCCCTAAACACAGAGCCCTGTGCATCTCCACAAATACATCCAGAATTTGGTCCCCATACTCCACCGTCCCTTATGGTGAGCTCGATGTCCCTACATCTCCTATCCATCCAAGGGTAACTGAGCGTTTCCTGCGCCTCTTACCCATGCAGGCTGAGTGGCGAGTACCCGGTCAGCAGCGAGGGGACTCGTGACCTGCAGAAAGGCTTGCCCAAGGGGCTCATTCGGTTGAGTCGCTGCTACGCAGGGCTGTCTGGGGGTGCCGTAGCCTTCCTGCAGAGCGCACTATGCGCTCGACCCTGGTGAGGAGCCCAACCTGTGTCCCGCCCCGCCCCTTCCACCGCTCTTGCTGGCCCAGCCCACTTCGTCGGCCTCACCCATTGTGCAGCCCTTCCCTCCCCGCTTGCCTCGCCCTACATAGCCCCCTCCCCCCAACCCCCCTCCCCGCTCGCCCAGCCTAACCCTCAGATCCCGGATGATCCACTTTCTGCTCCAGGGGCCGCCCATGCGCCACCACCTGCTTGCAGAGCGCGTGGTTGACAGAGGAGGGCCCCGCCGGCTCCCGGACCACGCCCGTGACCTTCCCCACCGCGCGCTTGCGCGCCTTCGTGCGCGAGCGCGAGAAGCGGCGGGCGCTACTCTACAAGAAGCACAACCTGGCCCAGGTGCGCTGAGGTCCTGCTCTGCAGGGCAAGATGTGCCTTGCCACGTGAGGACACCTGTGCCAATAAAAGATGCAAAAAACGGCCAGAGAGTTTTCTGCTTCATTGAGTTACCTTCCCGGTGTTTGGGATCTTCATTCAGTGTTATGGAACATGGAGATCACAACTTGTGCCCCAAGTCAGGTCCAGCCACCCATCCTCAATAAGCCAATTAAAATGCGTCTCCCCTGGGAAGAGGGACAAAGAGATACAGCAAATCCCTCAGGTCGACCTTCAGCGCCTGAAATAAGATTAAAGTTAGAGGGCCAAGGTCACGCACATCTAAGCAGTGCTGCCCAAGGTGCGGTTCCATCCACCACGGTCATCCGGCTTTGAGTTTCATCTTGTAAAATGCTCTGATAGGTTAGAACTGTTTGGAAGCTCGTTCTGAGACGTTTCCCCTCTAGGTGGTGTCTTTTCCTGGGGTGGGGTGACGACGATGACTCCCATTTATTTGGGGGTCTATTGATAAAATTGAGAGACACAGGTGTTTCTTTGGAACATCATTGCTGCCAAACTGGGGTAGATCCCCAGGAACCTTTGGCCCCTGAAGCCTGAAGCGGTGAAGCCCCACCTCTTCATGCATTTCTAGTAACCTTTGGGCCTCAGCTCTTCTTTACCACAGAAACCCATTGGCCTTACCCCTACCATAGTGCGCAACTTGCTTGTGCCCTGAACATCTTGGTTGTGTCAGTTCTTGGCCAACAGACCAATCAAGAAGTCCTGCTAGGACTGGAGAGATAGCTCAGTGGTTAAGAGCACTGGCTGCTCTTCCAGAGGTCCTGAGTTCAATTCCCAGCAACCTCCTGGTGGCTCACAACCATCCCTAGTGGGATCTGATGCCCTTTTCTGGCATAAAAGTATACATGCAGATAGGGCACTCATACATAAAATAAATCTCTGGGGTGGGGGAGAGGTACTGATGGCCACAACCCCCTGGGGTCTTTATCCAGGTCTTGTTTTGGGAGATTGCTGGTTCATGGCCATGGTGAAACCCAGGCCAACCTTCAACATTACCTATTCTGTGCGTGGCCCTGGATCCCCTGCTTTTACACATGGATATCCTGATGAAGTAGCCCCATTGCTCGGGGTCTCATCACTGTCTCGTCTCAGAGCAGGCAAAAACCATTCCCCTTGGCCAGGATCCAAAGCATGGTAGGGAAGGTTTTACCAGCTCCCCGGAGGGCCGGCTCTAGGGACCTCCCCACAGGGCCTTGACTCTCTCAGGTCCTAACTTCCCACAGCACTACACTGAAAAGCCAACCAGCAACACTTAGATGTCTGAAGGACAGTCCACATCAGGACTGCTGAAGCTCAGGCAGGGACATCCAGAAGCAGGCAAGGAGGTCCCTCTCTTAGAATAAACCCCCTTGCAGAATCCAACCTTGGGGGCAGCCCTTTGAACCGGAGCCAGTTCCCGTCTACCGTGGATAGAAAGAAGGCTTTGCTCCCTCTTTTTATCATGGTCATAAACCAGCAATTCCAAACCAAGTCCTTGAGAAAGACCCCGAGTGTCCATGGCCAGTGGTTCCTCCCGATCTTCCACTTGGTCAAAGACTGAGTAGAGTACCGCTGATCTAGATGTCCTGGGAGCAAGCTGCACCCATGCTCGCTGATGGCTGGGGACCAGTCGTTGCTGCTGACTAGTCTCCTGTGGCTGAGAGGTTTTGAGGCACCCGTCAGCTTTTGGAGAGCATCCAAGCTGGAACGAATTCTTGTTTACTGGACATTGCCCCTTAGGTCTTTTTGCACCCAGGGTACTTTGATCTCAGAACTGGAACTGGCCCCCACCTCTTCAGTCTTCCCACTGTTCCACCTCCCCGCTGTGTGGTGATTTCACCAGGGCCTATGCACAGACGCAGCCCTCGTTTGTCACTACAACACAGCACCAGAGGCTGCTGAATGTGTGAAGAGGATCATTCATCGTCTGGTTTGGGAGCAGAAAGTCCAAGTCTGTGCCCCCGTGCCTCTGCCTATGGTGAGGGCCCCCTGACTGTGTCACATCCTAGTGGATGGCACTGATAAAGGACAAAATGAGATGTCCTCACGTTAATCATGAAAACCAGAGAGTGGGAGAATGAACTAAAACAAGCTGCAAAAATACTATGGAAACCTTGACTTCAAGGCCACCTGTCCTGATTATGTCTGAGATCTCTGAACAGTTAGCCCCAAGCATTCCAGAAACACCAAGCACTTCTCTTCAGAGCTGTTTCCTGTCAGATTCTCCCTGCCTCTGGGTACATGGCAGGATAGGAACCTCTGGGATATATGGACAGCATAAAATCAAATAGCCTTTCCTGCCCAGCAAAGGAAGCAATTTGGGTCAGAGTGAAAAGAGCCTGCAGGACGGGAGAGCATCTTTGCTAGCTAGTCATTGGACAGAGGATTAATATCCAGAATCTATGAAGAACTAGGACAACATATTATCTAATCAATAAGTAGGAATGTGAATTAAACAGACAACTGTCCAAAAGAAGTACACAATAAACACATGAAAACACTCAGTATCCTTAGCTATCAGGGAAATGCAAATCAAAAGTACATTGAGGGGCTAGGTGTGGCGGCTCTTGCAATTTAATCTGAGCATTCTAGAGGCAGAGGCATGTATATCTGTGTGAGTTCAAGGTCAACCTGGTCCACAAAGTGAAACTTTGCCTCAAACAAAATAGCAACTCCACTGAAGTTCTTTCTATCCTGCTTCAACCAGAAAGACTGTCAAGGAAACAAAGGCGCTGGACAGACGCTTAGTGGTGAAGAGCACTTGCTGCCCTTGAGGAAGACCTGAGTTGTTTTGTTTTTTAATTCTAAGACTTTAATTCACTTAGGTTGGCTAAAATTTTGATGAGAACCTGTGTGACAAGACTTTTACTTAGGTTTGAGGAACACAAAGATGAGTAACACAGGAAAGCAGCTCCCAGGAGTCTCCATGTCGCTCTGGCTTTCATGAGCTCTTTCTCAACCAACATCTGGTCCTTCAGCAACTCCTCATTTCAGAGTTCACCCATTGCTGGGATAGGGCTCAGCCACTGCTACGGTAGAGCTCACCCACTATATTAATTTATGTCCTTCGGTCTCACTCACCATGTGGTGTCTACTCCAGATCAGGATGTGGGAGTTCCTGGCTGTATGTATACTCCCTGGGCAGGGCCCCTCCCCAGGGACCCATTTCAGTGGCACAGCACTAGACTTACAGAACCCGGTACGCTTTGGTCACGGACTTCATCCTTCCTCAGAACCTGTGTCCAGCTCTTTTCCAAAGCCATGGCTAGGGCTATGAGCACATGTTGGTCTCAACCACATGGCTTGCCCCACCTGTTTGCCAGGGTCTCCTTGCCCCAGAAATTACAAATGTAGCACACTGTCTACAAGCCACAACCAGGTGACATAAGTGTTGCATTCACCGGCTAGACTTCCCCTGCCTGGAACAAGTATGTGGAAGTGTCATAGGGCATCCTCCCCAAAATAGTCGATGATGAGCTATATGAGAAAGTACCCACTACCCCTAGGGAACCAGGTCCTTTTGGTGCCAGATCTTGTGGGCCACAAGAATATATTATAGAGATTCAGCTGTGTATTAAAGCTATACCTAGAAATTTTAAGGCATTTTTTTTTTAGAGGAAGCCATCTATCATGGAATATTTGGTGTTTTTAATACTTCAGCTATCTTCTGCTATTAAATTCTTATGGGCCCACATACTACTAGGCCATTTGGCAAACAGTTCAGCTTCTCAGACCTGCTGATCCTCTAGGTAACTAACTTCCCCCCACCCCAGAGCCTAGGAGACAGGGAGGCTGTAGACGCATAGCTTTGTGTCTTGTGCAAATGAAGCTCAGACCATCCCCTTCCTTCAGGCGTAGGGGCCTGGCAGACAGATTGGCTGAGGACAGTAGGGCTTTTTGCATAACCCGGTGCGGCAAGGACTGGAGCAGAATTCCAGAGGCAGGCAGAGAGCGTGGCCAGGAAAGAAAGAACAAGGCAGTTTGTCTGTAGAGGGTGGACAGCTGCATGGCCAGAGAGAAGAGAGAAAGGCACAGATTCTGTGGATGGAAAGGCAGATCCCTTGTAGAGTTTTCTCAGAGCCAGGAGTAAGGAGCTAGGAAAGAAAGATGCAGGACGAACAGAGGACGAAGACGAGGTCAAAAGCATAGGAGCTTACTGAAACTATGAGGACAGGAAAAGTGGGCACACAGAGGAGCTGGATGTGAGGAAGGAGCTGAAGCTGTACAGGTAGAATTTTGTCATAGGGGAATAGAGTAAACGGACAAAGAGCTTGGTGGACTTAGTGTACTTAGATCCATTTCCCCGCCGTTGGTAGCACCTCAAAATTCTGGAACTCAACACACATGTGGAATAAAGACCAACACACATGGAACCTCCAGTTTGCCATGCCTGTGTAGGACAGAGCTGTCCATCTTAGGTCTGGTGGCCTGTGAGCCTTGCGTTTCTTCAGTGACACCTCCTTGAGGCACGTCTGCCTGGCATGTGAGGTTTAACTGTATGTGTGTGAGAGGCTTTAGGCAGCGTGGGAGTGCAGATGCCTCAGAGTCAGATGTGCGATTCCTTGGAGTGGGAGTTACCAGCAGTTATAAGCTGCCCAACTTGGGAGCTGCAACCAAAGGCAGTTCAAACTGCCCAAGCGGTGCGTACTTTTTAACTGCTGAGCCACCTTACCAGTCAAGGTCCCAGTTATTAACCCACAGGATAAGCAGAGGACACTGTTCCAGATGACAGTTTATTTCAATGTGTCTCTTTCAATAAATAAAAGATAAAACTCCCGGAAGTGTACTACAAAAGCAGCCATTGCTGGGTCCTGTACACTCGGGACTGTGCAGTTGTCTCGGCAAGGCAGGCAACCACAGGCAGTGTACCCAAGCTAGCCAGACACCAGGGAAGCCCCTTTGAAGGCAAACCAGACAGGTCTCAGAACAGAAGGGTATGTTCAAGTGCCATTTCTGAGTCCTGTTTCTGGACCCTGTATGTGCCGAATACCCATGTAGAATACACATTTAGGATTCAGCCCCTAGACCGTTTCACCTCTGGGGCCAGGGTGCTGCTCTTTAATCTTC